ACAGTGGATCCAGAACTTCGTGGTCTGGTGTCAACAGAACCACTTCCAAATTAATGGAGGGAAAACCAAGGAGCTAGTGGTGGACTTCCACAGAAGAAGATCCACTCCACTGACACTGGTGAACATCCAGGGAACAGACATTGAGATAGTGGACTCTAATAAGTACCTAGGTGTTCATCTGAATAACAAACTTGACTGGACTCACAACACTGAGGCTCTGTATAAGAAAGGTCAGAGCAGACTCTTTTCTGCTGAGGAGACTGAGGTCTTTGGAGTGCAGGGGGCGCTCCTAAAGCCCTTCTATAACTCTGTTGTTGCATCAGCCATCTTCTGTGGAGCTGTCTGTTGAAGTAGTGGCTTACCTGTAGCTAAGAGAAAGTGGCAGGATAGGCTGGTGAGGAAGGCCAGCTCTGTGATTGGATGCCCTCTGGACTCAGGAGGTGGTAAACAAAAGGATCCTTACTAAATTAACACCTCTGTTGGATGTTTCCCACCCCATGCATGAAGCTGTTGCAGAACTGCAGAGCTCCTTCTGTGACAGACTACTGCACCCTAAATGCACCAGGGAGAGTTATCACAGATCCTTCCTCCCAGCAGCTGTAAGACTTTATAACCACCACTGTTCCCAATAAATATAAAATGACAGCAGCATATAAAATATGCTGCTGTCATTTTTCACATCACTGATGTTGCTGCTATTTTCAAATATCCATTACTGTAAAAATGTCCATTGCTGTATATTGGTTATTTATTCTCCAGATGCACAGTTTTATATTTTTAAAACACTTTACAGCCCAGTATCGTATTGTTTATCTTTTAACTCTTCACTGTTATGTTATTCTTATATATTTTTCTAAGGTTCATATTTGTGTGACCATTTTTTCTATAATCTTTTTGCTGCTGTAAACACCAGAATTTTGGCATTGTGGGGCAATAATAGGGATTTTCTATTTTATTCTATTCTAGTTTATTCTATTCTATTTTATTCTATTCTATTCTATCAAAGCAATCTGAAGAGCTGTCAAATGGAACAATTACCATAAAAGTAATCCCCTGTGATAATGACTTGAGTGAACAAGGACAAGATCAAGAAGGTAGTCTAGGAGGACATTACAGATGGTCAGGGCAACTGAAGAAGGGAGATTTACACTCCTTCAATTAGACACAAGAGGTCTAGATCACATTTTAAAGCCTGTGATTTGAAAGTAAGTTTGGATGAGTGCATGCACCAATCAATGATCAGATCCGATACTCATACATGTTTAAATACTGAAGGATGAGGAAAAGACAAGGTCAGAAAACATTCCAGATAAAAATCCACAAGAAACAGAATCTTTCACTCGGACCAGACTAGTTGGAACCGTTGAGACAGAGAAGAGACAGTATGGCAGGAAATGGGAAAAATAGGTGAGTTTTTATTGACAACTGAACAGGTGCAGACAGTCAGGCAAAGGGGAATGAGAAAGTGCTGTGTTCAAGGCTGGCTGGAAAAAACTGAGAGGCAGGTTCAAACTCTGCCAAACTGGAACAAGTGCAAACCTTGTATCAGCATTCCTGCTAAAGCGTTTGTAAAAAAAACAACAGAAAAAACAACAACAAACAAAGTAAGTAACATACAAATAGGGACCTAAAGGCAATTTTCAGAATTAAAAAGTAGGCTTAAAGCAATTACAATGGAACTGAGGTTCCACTTCATTTAACAAATATTAAATTTATATATTGTTTCATTAAAAACAACCTCAAGAAATACAATGAATGACTGAAACTATTTGGTTTATTTGTTTTGCATGAGCATATCTTCTCTCTACTTTTTATTTCTTTGATAAGAAGAGGCTGACCTCAGATACTTCCAAAAGACTATTTCAAAAGAGGAAAAGAATAATCCTCCATGGTTTTATGGTATCCACGCCCACCACATAACTATGTATTAAATGCTTTATATGTTATATCATAAAAACCCTGCTATACAGTACATTTGCAGGACCATCTAGCAAAAGGGTCGCCATTTAGTTGAAGTTAAAAATATACCATTTGACCCAAAATAACAAAACAGAAAAATGGCAACAGTTTGGATATAGAGAAATTAGCATGGAATAAGAGTATTTAACAATGTTAGTCAAAATGACTTTTTGTTTTCTCTCACTGTGCTTATGAAATAACAGTATTCGACTAAAAAAAAAAAGTATTTCTTGATGAAACAGACTACAGTTCATGCATTTTTATCCAGATTATTCTAGCCTCAGCATTCATTTCTAACCCAAATAATGTGATGCAATTTCCACCTCTTTCATTTTTTTCTCCCTCAAAAAGCTTAGCTCTTTTTTTCTAAAACCATGCTGCATCACTGCCGATCTTGCCTTTGTTTTACGCTTAAAAGTCAAATATATGGATTTACTTTGAATTTTAGATCAACATTAAAACTAATTTGTTACAATTAGCGGTTTGTATGACATTAGACGGATTTTAGATGGGTTATGGTGGCTCTGCGTGTATTGGAACCTCCAAATAAGAGTCCCTGAAAAACTAGAATAAACCCAGTTTTGTTCATTTAGATGACCGCTGGGTGGCGCTAAAACCCCACCAGCGCTCAGTAATAAATCAGGCTGAGCCGACATCCCTTTAACAGCTTAGATTCATTTCTTTAACTGCACCAAGCTGTTGCCAAAGCCGAATCATACGCATTTCGTTGGAGGAGGATTGTAAAAAAAGAAGTGATAAAATCTCAGTCTGCTTTAATCCAAAAACTATGAGTGACTGTTGGGCTGCAGCGGCTCTGTGGCGGATGGCAAGTTGTGAGTCAGACCTGGAGGACGCGCAACTTTTATAGACTTTCAAGTCCGCTGCTTGTGAGTAACCAGCAGCGCAGTTTAGAGTCCTTTGACTCCTGGATTGCGCGTCTGGAGAGCTTTGGCATCAGAGCGCGGCGTGTTTCAGTTCGCTGCTGCCCAGGGCGTCTCTGATCGAGAAGGAGATGATAAATCCACTAAGAACATGTTTGTGGTGTTTGCGGGTTGCAATGGAGAATAAATGAACTGGACGTTTATCGGGATTAACTGAGAGCACAAAAGCAGGTAGGTCAGCAATGCAGTTTTTATTATTTCTGCTGTTTAGTTATGAAAGATTCTGCAGAATGATTATGAAATTCTGAAATTCAAATAAGTAGAATAACCATGCAGATAACAGTATCCAAAGGCTTTCTGATATTATGACTGATGATCCAAAACTGCAGCTGGATGAGAGGTGAAGGAAGCTGCGGTTTGGCAAAAATTGAAGTTGATGCATAAAAAAAAAAACAAATAAAAAACATTAGAACTGCACAAGAGTCAAATATATCTGACCTGTTACATTTAAATATTGATAGGTCAGACTTGGTCTCTCTCTTTATGCTGGTTCAGAAAACAATGATTATTATTATTATTATCTTTTGTGGCTAATTGCAGCACAGGGATTTTGGTAAAATGAAAAGGTGCCAGGCAAAGACACACAGTTCAGTAAATCTAGATATGCGGCTGCTCCAGTCTGAAGAGTGTAAGTAGATTAATAATAAGTTATGGGAACCTGAGTCCAAACAGTTGATGTAAAGTTTAATGCATGGATACATTCCTTCCTTTTAGGATGTTGATAATGCAGCTTCATCGGAGTCAGACATATATCCATACCTTTACTATGTAGATGTTTGAAATAAAAAAATGTATTCAAATAAATGTGACATTGGTATGAACAAATTAATGTGGATTTCACAGTTACATTTTGCAATGAGTATGGCCATGGCTTTAAAACAGGAAAAAAAAAAGAAAAGAAAACTTGACATGAATGCAAAAGTATGAAATAAATTAAAAAGATGTATAAAGCCCAACATGGAATATTAAAGTAAACGTTATGGGTGCACTAATCAATTATAGAATCTGACTATTTATATTGACTGAAATAGGTAATCAGTGGATCAAATACTGAAAAAAAAAAAAAGATTTTTCCCAATTTATTAAAATAGTCTATTTCATATTAATGTGAAATATATATGATTCACTGCTTTGAGAGAAAATGAATTTAAATAAATATTAAAAACAAATACTTTAATGCACAAATAAAGAAGCATAACAACTTCCTGTATTAGCAAATATTCTTCTTATTGGTAATTATTATTTTTATTTAAAAGAGCCAAGAAAAAAAATATCATAATCGACAGTTTAGAGCACCAAGAAAAAAAGAATTCACTCCCCATCAGAATAACCACCTGACAGGTGCATCTGCAATAAACGTTTATTCTACACTGCTCTATTTTTTAAACTGACCGATTCCTCTCTCTGTTAGAAATTAGATTTATTTATGCAATGATTTTCTGTTTATTTCACCCTTGCATTTGCTCATTTTTATGGCCATCAAACAGTAGATTTAACACCACTTTTACAAATGAATACACTACCATATGATGATCCTACTTATAGTTAAACAGAATCATTGGTTTAGCCTTTGTACGTTTGGCTTGATCTTTTCTGCAGTCCTACATCATAAAGTCACATGCACAAAATAATCTGTTTGCATCTTTTTTTTTCTTTACCTGTGGAAAGGTTAACTCAACATGGCTCCCCACTGTAAAGCTCTACAGGCAGATCAAATGCTGATCTGAATCCACAGCAGGGGCCACAGTGAAATCCACCATGAGAGGAAAACAGCTTCACCTACGCGCTCTTGCTTTGTACTTTCAGCAAAAGCACAATGCTTCTCTCTCGTAATCCATTTTGAATGCACAAGTAGTTTTTGATGAAAATTGGCTTTGTGTTTGTCGTCAGCCGCTTCGCACACAGAATGCAGATTTTTGTCATTGTTACACGTCACTGAAACTAAACTACACCTCTCCTGGCATCCTCTCTTTCTTTCTCACTTAGTCTGTTCTGTGTTCACCTCTTTCATCCAGCTGCTCTTCATCTCCTTGGCTTGTGTTGTCAGCTGTTTTTTTTTTTCTTTCCCTCAATTAGTGCTATCATCGCATTTCATCCCCGCAGAATCACGGACGGTAATAACCTTATACTCCTATTGCAGGCTGATACAATTCTGCTGTGATTAATTGAAGTCCCCTCAGAGAGTCAGAGGAAGCGTAGATCTTCTCTTTCACACTCGCTGACAGGCAACCCATTATATTGTTTTATAGATCGCCGTCAGTAGCCCTTGAAGCTGCCTGTGGCCCACTGTTGTTCTGGAGGGTTTTATTGTGTAGGGTTATTGGTTGCTATTGCTGACAGGCAGAGTAAAGGCCACCTTGGGATTACTGGAGATGGGATCTCTGTGACAGCACCACTGTATTTGACAGTAACACTGGATACTTGGAAAAAGCCTGCTCTGCAGACTATTGTGGAGAAAATTGTTTTCTAACCCGCAGAAAAAAGGAAAGCCACCTTGACACTACGATAGCCCCGTTTGTCATACATGTTCTCAAATTGCCAATGAGAAAAAAAAAACAAAAAGAAAAAACATGGTTGCCTTCATGCAATTTGCATGCGTCAACACCCACTGCAGCTTTTGCAGAAGAATCGATATGAAGAGGTGAGACAGATCGGCTTGAAAATTCCACTTGTCTTAAAAGCTAGCAGAACGCAGGCGTTGCAACAACACAGTGAGGAATTGGGAGGCTTGGAAAGAGTCCTTGATATGCATGAGCCACCATGTGACATCCAGAAGAAGAGAGCGGAACAGAACGTCATGATAAGAGACTTGTTTCTAGTTTTAAGGATCCCCCCCAGGCAGAATTCATGTTCTCCACCATCTTTGTGTTCACGCTCTCAGATCAATGGGGCTTAATGAAAAAAAAATGTGATGTGTTTTCAGGCTTAAAAAACACCTTTCAGCACCTTAGTTTTCATTTTTGATAAAAGTCTGCAGAGGTACTCTGTAATTTTGTGAGCAAAAAATACTCAGTAAATACTTCTAAATATCTCCTTCTGGAATAGACATTTTAAATTTTAGAGGGTGTTAAACTCCAAGCCATGTCTATTTATGCAGATGGAATCCACATATGACTGTTCAGTGCACTTTTAAGAAGAAAGCTACACATTAATGCCTCAATTTAACCATAAAATAATAACTCTTGCAACATAGAAGCTCTGTCTTACAATCAGCTTTGCAGGTTTGGTTTAACAACGATAGAAATTCTGACCATATAGGATTACACTCGATTTCAGCATCTTAAGATTTGCTGCTTGGTGATGTTCATAGGCTAATGTGTTTAGAGAGCTTCTTGCTCCACCTCTCAGCATGCTGGCTGGAACTGCTGAGGTGAATCTGTCTGGTGCTTAAGGGGAGATTCAGAGCACCACAGTAAGAAAAGAAATGCAGCACTGGGATGCTTGTGTGCTGCTCCGTTATGTCAAGAGGAGGAGGAGGACACAAAGAGAGCATCCCTCATGTTTTATAGATGTCATTTAAAGGAGCATCCTCAAAGAAAAAAAAACGCTCTATATAAATGAAGTATAACCACAGCTAAACTCCAAGACAATAAACTAACAAATTGTTTTTTGTGAGAGCCAGCAGTGTCCCAGTCACTCATCAGGGCTGATCTGTGCTGATGCGGTGCACATTTTTTTTCCTCTTAGAGATTAGGCTGGGTAGCACAACCACATCTCTTATTTATTTTGTCCATGCCATGTTCATGTTTGGTGGACATGAGGAAGAGAAGCAGCAGATGATGGTGTCTGTGTTTGTGTGTGTTTGTGTTAATGTTTGATATGGTGTGTGTGTGTTAGAACCTGAGTGGTGTGTCTAATGATGCACATGAGTAGATGATGCTCATGGGTTGATGTTTTTTTTATTTTCTGCTGCAGTATTAAAACCGAGTATTCCTATTGGGATATGATGACGATGAGCTCCTTATGTTGCCGACATCAGTCTACATGAGTTTAACAAAGGCAGTCTGATAATTTTTTTTATTTTTATTATTCTCTTGTAATAGTTGTTGTTATACAACTAGTGTTAGTGTTGTTTTGCTAGAATAGAGCGGACAGGGTTTTTTTTTTCTTTCTTTTACTCAGCTCAGGTTTATGTAATTCAAGAAAAAAACAACCTTAAATGAAACCAGATATGCAATATACAAAAAAATCTAGATAAATATAAAAGCCTATAATATACCAGTCTATGCTGGGGATAGACTGGGCTGTGTTTGAAAAGTGAAAAAATAACTTTCCCTTTAGATTTGGAATGTGAAAGTCTTGGAATAATTGAAAGTTAAACAGAAGTCAATGTTTTGAATTTTTTGTTTTTTATTATTACTTTCCTTAAGAGGCATTACAGACTATCCTAATGATACTGTCACCTGTGGCCAAAACTCAGAACTGCAGCACCTTCTGCTTGTTTTTGTAGCTCACATTTATACTTAAGTTTTTTTGTTGTTGTTTTTGCACTTTTCACTTTATGTGAATTTGCCATTGGTGTATGAGTTTAGCTGTTTGCCAGTCGCTTGTGAGTATCCACAAAATCCATCTATAATATATAATTTAATTTGATCAATGTCATTTCATTTTAATATAACATTTTGATTGTTTGCTAAGTTGGACCCATTTAACATGGACATATTTGACGTCACATCAGCAGAACAAAGCAGGAACTTCCAACCCAAAGTAAAAATAGCATATAGGCTACAGGCTTATAGATACATCAGCCCTGAACCACTGAGGTGTCACCCTGCTCATCAAACTATGTTTTAGTTGTAAAGGATCCCCATACTTTCAAATAAGTTTGTTCCTGAGGATTTACTAAAACATTTACTAAAACATTTATGTCCCAGTATAAAATAAGATTAGCATGTTTTGGGTGACATTTATGTATCAACACTAGAACAAAAGCATGACGTTGGGAATGTAGTACTGGCTAAAACTGGTAGGAGGGTTTCAGTTTCCTCAGTGAAATTTGTCCTGTGTGATCAGATGCAATAATACATGAATATACCTATGCACTAATGAAACATATATTCAAGTTTTTGGCTGTAATGTTCATTACATATGGAGTAAAAAAAGAAGGAAACGTTCCAGCCTGTGAACACAAATCTAAACGCTGAAGCAGCAGCATCAGCATCATGTTTGGT